TGGAAAAGTTCTCAAATATGATAATTTTCTCTTTTAAACACATGAATTTTATTTATTAATAAACTCAAAACTCACTAATTTTTTATTGTTTAGTTAAATTTTAATCATTTGAGATCATATTTTAGAGAATTTAATGTTCAATTTTTCAATTTAATGATTTAAAAATAGAAATAATGTTTATAAATTTCTTCATAATTTATAAATTGCTTTAATGACAAAAATTTGACCAAAATTGACCACAACATTCAAGTAATTATGAAAAGTAGTTTTTCCAACATTTCAAGTATTTGCAAATATACCTTTCTTCATAATTTTGCTTTTCATTTCAACATCTAACTTAACTATTTCATTTCAAATATTCAATGGATCATAACATCAAAAGTTAGAAACATAATTCTATATTTTTAATGAAATTTGGAAATAGAAGGTTCAAAATGCAAAATTCAGATTTATAAATATACCCTTATATTTCCCCAGAGAGATTTATTGAATTCCTATTGATGAAACCAATATTTTATTAGTTAAACTTTATATTTAAAAAGTTTGATTGAAATTTCCATTTGATTTTTATATTTTTCTATTTTTTATTTATATTTTTTTCTTGTCAAATTAATTATTAATTTCTATAAGAAATTATGATTTATTAGTTATTATTTGTTTCCATCCTTAGCAAAATTAGGGGAACAAATTGAGGTCAGGGACTTGATGTGGCCCAAATTTTATTAAAATTTGAATTCTTTTGAATTTTTTATGTTTTTTTTAATATTTTAGTAGGTTTTATTTAATTAAGGAATTATTATTTGTAATTTGATTTTTGTTTTAGTCTATGTTTCACTGAATTCAAAGCTTTTTTATTTTTCTTTTATGATATTTATTTATTTATTTATGAATTTTCAAAGTTTGTTTTAGTTTTTATGTATTTAATTATATAGGAAAAAATATGAATTTTTCTTTAAACGTGCATTCCACCTATGTTGCCACCTCAGCCTCCACGTCAGTCAAATCATTAGCCCTTTTACATGTGTCATCATTTTTTTTTTGTTCAATCATTGTGCTACTACATAAGCTCAGGATCTCATATGAGGAACACTGCAGTTTCTACATGGAATTAAATCACAACCCTCCATTTCTAATATAAATGAATAAATGACAATGGTTCTCCTTCCCAAATAGAACGGTGAACATGAGTTGTTCGTGAGAAAATGCGTGATTTACACGATCCTATGCTTGATCCTAAGATCATATCTGTTCAATAAGATTTTTAGGTCCAATTGGATTTTTCGGTCCTTAGGGTGACATCTTATAGTCAAAACTTTGTGAATTAAAGTTTTTTTCACAAAGTACCACTACCACACATATATCTAAGTTTTCAGACGAATACATCATTCCAAGATGAGTTCCTTTGATTTGATTGCTTTGGAGTACATGTTTGAGCTCCACATACCTCTTTTAAGCTTGTATTACCTTGGTTTAACTCCTTTGAATGTTCTTGATCAAGAGATCCCTCAGTTCGGTTTTGAAGTAGGTTAAAGAGCTTGAAATGGTGGATTTTCAATAGAGGATTGGGTTTTAGGATCATTAGATATGTTGGGCTTGGGTTGAAGAGTTATGAAGTGGAGGTGGGTATTCAAAGTTGTCCTAGCTCGGGTTGGTGAAATCCATGTCAAATCATTGAAGGTTTGGTTTTGAGACAGAATGGAGGACGAGCTAGGGGGTGTAGAAATGAATTTGTTTGAGTGTCGCATGGGAATTAGCTCGGATCCATTTCTCAACCCAAGACTGGTATTTATAGTCATTTGAGAATGAGTTGGGCTCAACTATTAGCCAAAGAGGATTTGACATGTGTGTGGTCAAATTTAGTGTGTGACCTATGGTGTGATGCCACTTGTGCTTTGAGATGTGCATAGCTTCCAATGGCCTGGAAGGTGGTTGGCTAGCTTGGGTGCACCCCCATCGAGTGGTTAAATCAGTTAAAGAGGTTTGGGGTGTGACCAATAGGATTAAGCCATGTGTTGGGTTATTTAGGCCAATAATTGATTCAAAACAAGTAAATCTTAGTCGGCTTGAATTTGGATTAGTGAGGCTTGCAATTAGCTTGGAATTAGCTTGGCATTGGCTCATTTAGGCTTGGTTTAGGTTCAAAGAACAAGGGGTTTGAGATTGAGATAGGGTGACTTGAATGATGCTTCGAATTGGTTTAGGTGACCTGGCTTGAATTAAGTGGACTTACCTTGAATTTAGGTGGATTTTGCAAGAATTGGCAAGTGGATGGCAAGTGGTTTTAAGGCTGATTTTGGGTGAGTTTTAGTGTGGTCATTTGGCCGATGGTAGGGCTTAATTTTGGTGGCTATGGTGTAGGATTGTTTGATGGGTTGAGGGTTGTGTGTGTGAGAGAGAGAATTTGGATGAAATGTAATTAAGTTTGAAAATGGGGGAAAATTTGAAAATGGAAGTGATTTGTGTAGTGATTGTGACAGATTTAGTGAGTGTAGTTGGGTGTAGGAAATTTTGAAAAGTGGATTTGGAGTAGAAGGTAGTTTTGGTTGGCTTTGAAAGTAAAGTGTGAGGGTGGTGAGAGAATGTGTGAGGAAATTTTATTTTATTTGTTTATTTTAAATTTTATTATTATCTTTTTATTGAATTTTATTAAGCAATTATTATGTGAGATTGATAATTGGCCATTTTTTAAATTTTTTATATAATTTTACTTGTGAATTGATTTTAATTTTAAATTTTATTGGCTTTATTTCAATTAAAATTTAAATTACATAAATTTTCAATTTATTATTATGTTGTGTTTATTATTGAATTTTTCATGTTTTTGAAATGATTTTTTAAATTTTTGATAATTTATTCTAATTTTTATTTTATTGAAATTTTAAATTTTAATGGAATTCTTTGTCAATTTATTTCTATTTGATTTCAATTTTTGTTTTATTTTGTGATTTTGATAAAATTTTCATGGATTTGATTTTATTTAATTTTAGTTTTAATTTGTGATTTAATTTTATCCTCTCTTTTATTAAAAGATAAAATTTTAGTTTTAATTTGCGATTTAATTTTATCCTCTCTTTTATTAAAAGATAAATTTTATCCTAGTTTAAAATGAACATTATATCTAATGTGCTCTTTATGAACCAAAGAAGGAGTTATCCACTGAGTTTAAAAAAGAGAGTGCAAATTGCCCAAAGAAAGACCAATTTGAATACCTAAGTATCTAGCCTATGTGGACTCTACTTAAGCTTCAATGACTTAATCTCAATCAACTCAACAAAATGTTAAGAATTCAAAGTCAAGCATATAAACCTATAAGGAGTGAAGACGTGGTTCAAAATTCTAATATGATATTTGTACCATTACCAGTCTTCTAGGAAAAAACAATCAAGGAAATCCTATGGCTAAATCCTGAATTCTAGAAAGAGAAGGAATAAGGAAGTTCTTATGCAAAAATGAGGTAAACAATATTGTGGAATTAGATCTTCTCTTAGATCAGCTCCATTTGAGGGTAGGTTATTGTATAGAGTCAGTTTCTTACAATGGTTGGCACAAATGCTCTTTCGTCTCATTTTTAGTCAGGTGGCCCGATTTTGAATCATTCAGTTGTCTTTTTGTCTCTTATTGACTTAGCTCATATGATTTCATTGAGTCGGTCAAGTGAGTCTTATGCTTTTCTGACAGTGGGCCATATATATGTATATCCAACCCATCATTAGTTTAACAAGAAATTAACTAAAATTAAAAATAAATTAACGTTAAATTTAATAATTTTGAGCTTAATTTTAATTCCATTGAATTATTAGATTATCTAAATTAAAAATATATAATATTTTATGCCATAAAAAAGTTATAATTGAAGCATAACCTTGCCCTAGTCATATAATGGTAGCTCATAACTACACCAAACTTCATGCACCATAGTAAGTATAGCATTACTTCAAAAACTTCTATGCATCAATACACCCTCTTGGACTTTCTTCTTTGTGATCAAGTCATTATTCTGCATATTCTTCACCTAGCACAAACAACCATACAAAATGATCATGACTTAAAATATAATAAATGAAATAAGCTCTTACACACGTAGATGAAGTGCGTGTGAAAGCTAAAAGCTCATAGAAGTTTTGGAAAGAAAGTAGTGAAAAAAACTAAGGTGGCCACAACTACAAGTCTGAAGAATACTCCAATGTGGTTTGGATAAAGCTTAAAATGCACTAGATATCTCATTGTGAAGAATCTACAAAAATGTTACTTGGCGTCGAAATGAAGAAGATATCAAGGAGGCATGGCATCAGATTATGCCTAAGGATTTCATTTTCGAATCAAAAGAACGTGCCGTCGAGGCTGAGCTTGTTGATTTAGAATGGGCAAGTTCATTAGGTTCAGGATCATGTCTAATGGTTTAGAATGGGCAAGTTCCTTGGAGATGTAAGCAATTAGGACTCGAAGCGAAGGAGAATTGGATCCGGAAGCTATAATTGGTCTGAAACAATAAGTGACTTGTAGGAATGATGGAAAAAGTGGCAATCTTAGACAAGGGCATAAATGATTAAGCACCTGACAATTAAGATCAATGAAAGACAAAAAAAAAAAATTACAAATCGTCTCCTACAAATAACAATTCGAGATCTACAAGAACATTTAGAAATAGAGGAAAGAAGTTAGAGGGAGTAGAATATTAGCAAACCAGATGTTTGATATGTCGACAGATGTGTGCTTCCAATTAGAATTTATGAGCAATAGGTTCTATAGTTGATTGTTTCAAGCCTCTGGATGGCTTAATGAATATGAAATTCACATTTCAATTCTAAAACCAGAAGAGTTAAAGGCTTCACAATTCGACATAAGGTTCTCAGTATTATTTTCGATATAGTAAATGACATGCACTTTCTTAAAAAGGCAGACATAAATTCCACAAAAACTTATGAGGAATTATGTAATGAAAACATATAACAACATTAAAAACCCAAAAAAAAAAGTACTATAAAATTGCATAAGCAAAATTAAAATTCTAAATCTGACTTTATTTAATCTGAAATAGGTTTGGTGGAACATGCAAGCATAAACACAGGTATATTTATAACTCTAGTTATAGGGGAAAAAAAAAAACAAACAAAAAACAAAAATGTTGGGCAACCTCCCCTCACAGGCAGAAAACATAAGATCATACTCTGCCTTCAAGTAGCTCACAGAGGATGTGGAACTGATGCGTTAAGCGATACGAAAGATGTGCTAGAAGAATTGGATAAGGTAGCAGCATCATCTACAAGACTGTCATCATCTTGGCTACACCTTTGCTCTGAATTCGATGACATGACAGGGAGCTTGTTTGTTTGTTGCTTCTTATTTGGTCGCTCTTCTTCCAAACCAAATTCAACAGGCAGAGATGCAACAGGAGAGTATAATCCATTCAAGGCAGCACTGCCACCATCAGCTGGCTGTGTTGTACCAGCAGCAGATTTAATCGCAAATTCCTGTGGAGGTACCCATATACCGCCTACCAAAATGAACTGTGGTTGATTCAGAGTGCTATTGCTATTGCTGCTTCGAACCGTAACCACTGGCCGCCTCATATGTAGACGATATTTCTATAGCAAATAGTAGTTCATGAATAAGAAAGCTAAAAGAAAATGGAACAAAAAGTGTCATAGGCAAGAGTTTCACTCATTAAGATATTGTCCGCTTCGATCAAAACGGCTTTACAAATTTGTCCTCAAAATGTAACATCTTAAGATTGTAATTCATCCTAGGAGTTCTCTAACATGTTCATGTTTAACTAAGTTTTTGACTAAATACTAAAAAGTATCTTACTATTCAAGAGTTTTGCTCATGGTTTAAAATTTTAGAACATAATCAGAAACAGAGATTCACTTATTTGAATCGTTAAAATAAAGAGAACACCTCTTAGTTCTATAGATATATATTAGTTTTTCAACTCACGCATACACCTGTACATGCCAGGTTTTGAATCAAAACCTTGTGGTAGGAGAAGAAGAACCCAACTACTGGGTTTGTTAGCTGAAAAACTAGATTGATAGAATATTGCCTAAAATTTTTTAGACCAGTTCCAATTAGATCTTAGCATATCCAACAAATATATACCTCAGTATAGTAATTCATAAGTTTTCTAAAATAATCAATCATAAAATAACTCTGAGGTTGACACCATGAGAAAAAAAAAGTTGCTTAATAAGCACACTTCTTATCTTTACTCATATCTGGAATTCTAAATGGCCAAATCTTGGCAAATTAAACAAAAAGATCAGCCTTAATGAAGGGGAACCACTAACGGAAATAAACCTTTAACAGCTTCAGGGGAACAACAAGAACAATTCTTGCATTATTCAATCATAAATGTTACACAATATTTTTCTCTGGCAGGAAAGCTATTTAGACATAAACGCATCAAGTAAAAATCTTTACCTGCAAATGGGACTTCACCTCATCGTTAGTAAGGCCGTCGACCATCATTATCTCCCTGATCTGCTTCGGCGTCGCGGCTGCAACCACCCATAAAAGAAAATCAGCAAATCAGAAAACCATTCATTTTCCACAAAAAAAATTCAAGAACATTCAGAATAATCGCTAATTCAAGGAAAGATGGATATCTCACAGTGGGATCCTCCAAGTTGTTCAAGAGCATTCAAGAACTTGCGATGCAGACTGGGAGACCAACACCTTCTCTGCTTCCTGTTAGACCGAGCAGGGACCAGCGACTGACCCTCCTCCGCCTCCTTCTCCACACCTTCACCGCCATCTCGTCTTCCTCCTGAGGTGGAGCTAACATCAGCCGCAACCGCAGGCCCCAAAACTTCCGGCATCAATTTGTTCCTTTCAAATGGCTGAAATGCTTTCCCCACCCTCCTCGCATTAGGCCTCCTCAAGGTGCACTGTCAAACGAACAACGCCCCAATTTGAGTACCAAGAAATCAGATCAGCAAAAGAAAACAACAATCGCTGCTCACCCCTTCAGCCGGTACTTCATCTGCCGCTAGAGGACTCCATAACTGCGCAGATCTGAGCCAATCCTTCTTGCAATTAAAAGCTTCCTTCTCCATCAACGACTTCTCGCCGGAAATCTCATCGCTCGCCATTTGCTGCTGCAAGCTATCAATCGCTGCAAGAGCCAAGATGAGAAAGAGGTAAGAAGAAGTGGGAAACACTGAACCCACTGATAAGAGGTGATTTGATCAGTACCTTCGTTGACGAGCTGCAAACAGAGAGGGAGCTCGCGGGAGAACATCTGGATCTTGCGTCGCTCTTCTTCGAGGGCCGAAATGAAGCCGCTGTGCCTCTGTTTCCATTCCACCATGACTATACCGCTGCAAGAAGTAGAAACGAGATTGAAGAAGAAGAAGAGGAGCAGAGAGAGGGAGAGAGAGAGGAATAGGGGAGAAAAAAAGGGAATCAAGTCGGGGTCGAGGCGTCGCGTACGCAAGCGAATCTTATGAGGGGCTGTCTCGTGAATATTCGGCGGGGCGATGCCGCAGATTCGCGCGGCCGGCCGAGAGGTGCTGGCGCTGACGTCAGACGGATAAGATCCGGTGAGCCCGGATCGTTCTTAATGGGCTTTGTTGGGCTGGCATCAATCAAAACGAGGCCCACAAGAATGCTTGAATAGTTTTGAATTTAGGGGTGGAAGTGGGTTGAGTCAACTGCTGTGCTACCTCGTGCTTGGCTGGACAAGTGGCTCGTGACATGAGCTCGATAAGATAACAAGCCAAGCTCAAATTAGCCCTAACTCGATTTGGTAGCTGGTGAGCTATAACGTTTTAAAAAAATAGTAATATTAAACATACTCACAATGTACTAAATTTGAAGACTTTATCTTTAAAGTATTAAAAATATTTTTTGTTTTAAGATATTGCATTTTATATTAAGTGATTTTTTATTATATCTCTTAGTTACTCATTTCATTTATAATTTTATTATAACACTATCTTAAATTAATATAATTTTCTCTTTTTTATAATAATTAAGTCGGGTCATGAGCCAGCTTAAACTCGTAAATTTAGGGTGTGTTTCGGGCAGCTTTTTAGCTGCGTCGCGACGGGAGAGTGCAAAAAGGTGAGTTTGGAAATAATAGTGCGACGGCTTTTTGGAAAAAGCATATCTAAAAACAATCTGCGGCCCACATTTTGTTCGCTGTGGGTGCTCCTTTTTTCTTATGTTTCTATTTGTGTAACCATTTTTTGTCATGCTTCTCTCACATCTCTTCGGAGCCCTAGCTCCTTTCTTCTGTCTTCCTTATCTCTGGTAGTTGGTTCAGGTGGCATACCCTCTCATCTCTAGGGTGTAAACGATTCGTTTGCTTAGCGAGCCGAACACAAGCCGTTCACAAGAAAAGAGTCGTTTTGACTACCCTAATCACGTAGTCATAAGATATTAAGAATTTGAGCAAGATTTAAAATTTATTGTTTATATTAAAACATCATTTGAATCTAATTTAATAATT